TATCGTTGTCATTGTCTAAAAATCTTTCTCATTATATTCGTCAAGGTATTCCTATAATCATTAATATCAAAATGTCATAGATCCTAAGGTTTGTGTCCATGGGGAGACGCTTAAGCGCTCCCGGCGTGATGAATGATCAATACATATTTATGCACTTTCTCCTATATTTTTACTTAGACATTTCTTTACTTTATCTTGATTATTTTTATGTTTTATTTTGTTTTTATATTTTATTTTATTTTTGGTTTAATTTGATTTCCGCACTTATTTTTCAACTTTAGCAGTCTGCACGGAAACGATCATAACTGGAGTTCCGGGAATCCGTTTGAGGCGTTCTAAAAATTGTCGGAAAGCTAAGAGAGAGAGCTACGACTTTCGCTTTGGAGTCGAAGTCAGATTCAGAGCCAAATATTCCAGAATTCTGTTTGAAGTTACTGCATTAGAATTTAATTTTAGTGTGGGGTCATGTATTGGGCCTGGGTTATGTTTTCGACCCAGTTGGGTTATGACCCGAATTTGCTTTCTTTTTAAAGGAAAAATACTCGTGTTACTGTTCACCTAATTACATTTTCACGAAAAATACATTCGGAGCTTTGAGAGAACCATGGAGAGCTAATTCCTTAGAGTCATTCTGCTGTAATCACGTTCCAACGCTTTGAGGTTTTTACGTTATCAATCTAATTCGTTTCTCTTTCAACACTATTCTATGAATTGTTTTTGCTTAATCTATTTTTTTATAGAATTGTTTTGATTAAATCCGTATGATTGCATCCTTAGCTTTTATTTGCCGTTATGTCGCTTAGTCGTTAATTCACGTTTATAATTCGTGTTTGCTTAATTCACGAAAACTTAATCCGTTTGCTTAATTTGGAATATAGGATTGGTAATCTAGTTTATGTCTTTTGCGCTTGTTAATTGACATAGGAATCGAATAGAGATCGAAATCGCTTAGGAAATTGGTAAGGTAGAAACCCGTGATAAGCCGGAACCGAAAACAGTAGATTGACTTAATTTGACAATCACTTATTTTAACCGCTTAATTGCATTTTCTTTATTTATCCGATCAGAAGCCAAACCAACTCCCCCTCCATTTCGAATTTGGTAGATTAATCACATAAAAGAATCCTTGA